TTCAAACGAACTGGAAATGATATCGCACCGGAGAGTTTTTCGCGTCCTTCGAAACTGTCGCAACAAAAACAAACGGGGCATTTTTTAAATAGCGGGCCTACGGAAAAAGTGTATTGCTTTTAAAGAGGTGGTTACGGGGCTCTTGTCAACCAGACGTGCTCTCGCTTCGAGGGTCCAGGGAATTTTGTTGAGGCATCTAATAGAAGACTTCGAGGGAGTAGGTAAAGAGGAGGGATCAGAGAAGAGAGGAAGGAAAAGAAGGAAGAAAAAGGAAAGAGAAGAAAGGTTTCCCGGTTGACAGATGCCCTGAGACGCAAATGTCGTGCTTTCTACGCAACTACACTGCGGGACTTGTGGTATTTTTACGCAAGGTCTGTCGTCGTCGATGACCTCCCGCCTTTGTCACTGTAAGTGTCGAGCTCCTCTCTCGTGAGTTGACTCTCGTGGAGGCGGAGCAGAACTGTATATGTGTTTGTGTGTGCATTCTACTTGCAAGGGCGTAGGGAACAGTCCTCCCTCGCCCGATACTCTCCTCATCTCTCTTCATCATTCATATCCAGAATGAATCTCACCACTGAACCTGTGTCTTATTGTGTAAACGGGTCAGACCCAGCCTTCCGCACCCTACCTAATTATCTGGTGCATCGGTTGGCCTGCCACGCGGGCGGCCCAGCGTACAAAAATCATAGCTATTTGCTGCAACAGGGAGGAGGTTCCACTAACTCTGTTTTGGCGTTGATTCATTATTCTCTTGTATACTCAATTTGTTGTTCCTTTCTTTTTATGTCCCTATGTGGGAACTATTCACGCGGATGCCTATGTCTTGTCTCTTTCTGACCCACTAGAATGTGCCGTTGACGTACAAGAAACCTTTGGCTGGGGTTGTTTTGTAGTTCTATGTAACGCGCCGTGTAAATAGATTTGATTTTGCACTATTTGAAAGAAGTTCCTGAGTCCTTTCCGTAGCTTTTTGATTTGTCAAGGAAGCATGTCCATAGATTAGAGGGGGAGAAAAGTTACAGGAAAATGATATGGTTAGCTAACCCAATAGTATTCATCTTGGAAGGTCGCATTTTTCGTCCTGTCAGTTAGACATATCTAGAGGCTGGTTTGAAATGGCTCTACTCTAACTTCATCGAAGTATCGTTCTCCTTGGTTTGCACTCATGAATTCACAATTTTGTTCATTAATAGTTTTCAAAGATTAGGTATCTTCTTCAAAGGGAGTTTTCGAAAACTTACCTGCGAACTTCTTTTTATATAGTGAAGTCTCGCTGTGACGTATGGAAAGTGATCAAGAGGTCCAACTTTTTTCCCCACATTTTGAGATTATAGTTCAATCAATCGAATGATGGGAAAGTCAGTGGAGTTCCCCCATTCAACAGAGAAACAGCTTCCGAAATTCGTCACCGTTGTTGTGACCGTCGCCGTTCCCCCAAAAACGGCTCAGTCATTTTTCAGTCGACTAACTTCGCCTATAGTTTGGTGCTTTTCTGCGCTCCTTCTGATTGGTGCTTTGGTCTTGCTTCCTCGCCAGATCTAGAGTTGGGCACTATCGTTCAACGACAGCGACCCATTCGGTTTCACCTTTAGCATGCCTGCAGCTTGACTCCATTTGATTACTCTGCTTCTTGTAACGTATCATTTTCTATGGCTGTCTCTGTCCTTCTGATTTCTTGCGTCTTTTTTATACCTACTTTTACTATCTGTTCACCCCTCACTTTCACTGTGTTTTACCATAGTCTGCCATTTCTGTACTTTTGTATCCCTTGCTAATTTGCTCTGAGGCTGCTGATCATTTTCATGGATGCCCTGCCTTTACTCATAAATAAATCATCTTTTTACAAGAACAGCGACAAACCGGAAGTAGCCTGGACTTTTTCATGTCTTGCCGTCTTGGGACATAAACCTCTTTAATCGCTCTTGCCTCTTTTTCATTTAGGCTCGCTCTCGCTTTTAAAGGCAGTTTTCGCTCTCGAGTTGTGGCTTGCTTTTTTTTCTGGTCGATTTTCTCTTTGCTCTTTGTTAAGACTTTCCGTCCACTGGTTTTGTGTTCCACCGTCATCTAGAACGAGTAGATCCCTTGCGCTAGTAAAAGTTACCGATTAGACTGGTTTGGAAAAAAAAGTTTTGCGATGCTTCAACCAACATTTCGGACCAAATTTTCTTTTACTAGTGTCACCCCCAGTCTTTAAGGTAATCACCATTAACGACTAGCTTAAGTGCCCACTTTTCGCGCATCTTCTCGATTCCTTTCTCGTAGAACTACCTCAACTACGATGAAAGGAAGAGGTGAACCTAATTCTCGAGTATACGTTGATTTTTGAAATTTTTGCTTTCTAAAGGATTGCTTTCCAAAGGATGGAATAGGGACCAAAGTAGTGAGATTCTGCTGAATTCGGTGAATAAGCTGGATACGGTGGCTTCTCTGATCGAGATCCATACTCTTCCGGATGGCTTGCCACATTCCATCTTTGCATTGCCGAGGAGTTGAGAGGAATCGAGTGTTTCTGAATGAAATCAAGCGTGACGTCATCATGTTTCAAAGTTGTTTAGAGTAGTGGTGTCACTGTTGCCTAAAAATACAGCGATATCGCTTTGAAGTCCCTTCTAATGCAGTATAATCTTTCCTCCATGCACATCTGCTTCTGAATAAGCAGGCGACTTTACCCTTGAGCGTTCTGTTAAGTTTATGTATTACATGGATAACGCAAGGAACCCGGCTCTCGTTACTAACTACAAAGTTTCACAAAATGTCCTTCCATTGTGTTCAAAGAAGAGGAAGCCCTGCACGACCACTTGGCGCGCTCTGTGAGACTGGTGGAACTGACGTGGTATCCTTCGCAGAATATTTTTCAGATAACTAATGGTAAGATCGAGAGAAACATGATAGTTGGCGCTTAGGTGCATCCAAGAGATGCTGCCAACTTATTGGTGGTTACGTTCGGCTGCGCCTACGTTGCCTTGGGACAGGTTACCTAATGCAGGGACACTGTGACATGGCAAGCCATCCTATGAGGACAATGCAGGTGTTAACTTCCTCGAGTGCGACAAAGTGGCGTACAGGAACTCATGTAAAATAGGTCAGGAAATACCTGGACCTTTTGAGCTTGAAAGCTCTCACGAGGCCATAACATGCCATCTAAAAAACTTCAGAGTACCCTCTGATTCAATGAGGCATGGAGACGTTTAGAATTAATTTTTCTAGAACAATTAAAAGTTTTGCGGGAGTTCTTTACCCAACCTCATGAATGACAACATCTACTTCCATGTATCCTCATACTGTATCTGGAATGTTGTCGTTACAATTTACAGGAGATAGAGCAATTCTATCAGCATGTTCGTTCGCTTTCAAACCGATTAAATACATGGGAGTGTTTGCCACGCTGCAGATCGATACAAGTTGATGAATGCCGACTAGCGCTAAAACAGCACTTCATCCTCGAAATTCCAAATGAAGTTTTCGTTCTTCATTAGACACACTATTTTGGTATTGACTATGCGTTCTTGGAAATCAGTTGTTCGCCAGTAACGACCTGTCTTCAGCGGATCGAGGGGAGAAGAAATAGCAAGGAAGCTG